AGCTCCTGGTTCCGGGTACGGAAGCGCTCCCTCTGGCTGGAGATGATGGAGAGCAGGGAATCCACCTGGCCCTCGGGGAGGGTGCCACTGGTTGGTGGGGAGGGTCCTGGGAGAGAGTGGAGAAGGTGGCAGGAGACATGGGTGGCCCAGGCCTTGAGGTGGAAGTCGGACCCCCAGGTGTGAGCAGGTGTGTGAAGGGGAGGGGCAGCCAGGGAGCCTGAGAGGCTGGCCCTGCAGGGCTCTGCCCCAGGGCACCTGTCTGCACTGCCATGGAGCCAGGCCTGGGGCTCCTCCGCCCTGTTACTCTGTATGGATGCGTGGCCACTGCCTCTATCACACCGGTCCCTTGTCAAGCAAAGAGACACTGAGGGAACTGGGGAGGCCTGGACACACCCCCACATCCTGGTGCGGCAGCCTCAGGTTTTGGCCTCAGTCCTGAGGAGGCTGCCTCCCCTCAACCCTGAGGAGCTCCAGCTGCCATCTGGCACTAACGCCACGGCAGGCCACGGGGTGGGCGCGGGGGCCGACCTGCTGCTTTTGAGGTCACTGCTGCATTGTTGGGGTGGGGACTCTGGGCTCTCCGCCTGCACCTGCCCCCAGCCCCGCTCCCTGAGCCCCTCCTCACCATAGAACAGGGCGGTGGCCTCCTTGATGGGCTCTGGGATCTTCTCCAAGCCTTGCTCAGCAGCACCCTGAGGTGGGGGAGAGACGCAGGTGCTCCCACATCTGGGCACTGACCGCCCTCTCTCAGGGTGGCCAAGCCAAGTGGGGTGGAGGAGCTGCCGGAGCCTGCATGGGCTGGGCCCTGGGGTGCTCCTGAGGGAGTTCAGCCGGTGGCTCTCACCTGGCCACTGGGCCCTGACCGGCACCAGAGCCTGGGCAACCCTGGCCCAGCAGCCGGACGCTGTGGGACCTGGGCAGCCACACCTCCTCGGCTGCGAGGGTGATGCCGTGCCCCTGGGGACCCTCTGGGCTCCTGCCTTCTGTGGTCTGGGGCCTCGGATGCTTCAGCCGAGAGAGGGGTGCAGGAGCCTGGCCTTGCCTCTGCCCGTGGGGAGGACGGTGGCCAGCCCGGGGGGAGTGGGGAACCCAGAAGATGTGGGCGCAGCCCCCTAGATTTTGGGGGTGGGGTGGGCTTACCCAGCTGCAGGGTCATGGGGGGCCGACCTGGGAGGTCCAGGGCTCCTGAGGCTGAAAGGATGGGGGCCCGGGGAAGGGCAGAGGGGAGCGGGGCTCACCTCGGCATCCGGGCGCCGGAGGGACTGGATGGTGCTCAGGTCCTGCTCTAAGCGGGCGATCAGCTCTCTCTGCTCAGTGGCCGTGGCCATGGCCTGGGTGACGTGCATCTGCAGCTCCGCACAGCGCCCTGCAGTCAAAGGAAAATGCGACCATCAGAGGACCTGACGTGACCCCTGGCTTGCCCCTGTGGCTCACGGTCCATTGGCCATTCCCTCCACACGGCCACTGCCCAAGAGGTGCTGGCTGCAACCACTCTGGGCCTGGGTCCCCAGGGGAGGGGAAGGAAACTGGGCCTGGACTTAGGAGAAATGGGGGCACCCCACCTCTGCCCAAGACCTTCCCGGTGACCCTGGATGGCCCCTTCTCCCCTGTGGGTCTCACTTGGCCTCTGTCAAGCAGGGCGAGGAGCCCCAGGCTTCCCCAGTGAGCCCCCAGTTTCTCATGTCCTGGGATCATGACCAGAGAGGGCCCGGGTGGGAGGGGCTGAGAAAAGCAGGTGAGGTGTTGGGGGGACAGGGGGGGTCCCGCCTCTGGAGCTGAGCCCAGACCTGGGTGGTGCCCCCTGCAACAGGCTCCAGACGCAGTGGTGGACAGGGTGGCAGGGGTGAGTGTTGGGTGGCCCCCAGAGTTCCCTGACCCACAGCCCTGTCCCTCTCCCCTATTCAGGAGCCAGCCCCTGCCACCAGCCCCGCGCCTGATGCTGTGAATCAAACCCCAGGATCATCTTTGCTAGGAGGCAAATCCAAACTAGTTCTGTTTGGAAACCTCTGCCCCTGCAGGAGGGTGGGAGATGGTGGGCAAGTTCTCCAAGCCTGGTCTCCAGGATGCCTTCAGTGGTCACTGGCTAGGACAGCAGAGTCCTGGGAGATGACCAGATCCCAGGATGAGGTATGGGTCTGCTTCTGGCTGTGTGACTCCAGGCAGCTGGACCACCCTCTCTGGACCTCATTTATAAAATGGTGATATCAGACCTTCCTTGGTGAGCTGTGGGGCCCTGTCCTTATGGGTGGCCTGCATGGCCACCAGAGGGCACTGTGGCCTCAGAAATGCTCAGACTCCGGGCAGTGAGCTGTGAACCGGCTCCTCACTGGGCAGCCTGCTGACCAGCTGTCCAACCGGCCCTGGGCCAGGGGACAGCCCCACCTCACCCCGCTGCTCCACCTCCTGGTGCCCACCATCTGCCACGCCCTTTCCGCACCCTGTGACAGTCTGATCATTCAGAACAGAGGGTTCCTATTTTAGAGATGAAGAACTGAGGCGTCCCCACCTGGGATGGAACCCAGCGGTGCCCTGTCCCCCAGTGCTTCCCCACACCACAGTCCCCACTGCTCAGGCCCCAGATGGACTCCTCCCTCAGACAGGCGGGCCCCTTCCCTATTCCTGGCGGGCAGGCGGTGGTGAGGAAGGGGGGCGGCGGGGTGTGGCCTGAGGGCAGCGCCAGGACCGAGGGCGGGCTGCGGGTGGCAAGGGTGGGGCCTAGCCCTGGTGATCCATAGGAGCTTTAGCGGGCCCCAGTGGGGAGACCAGAAAGGACAAACTTGCCACAACCTTGGCCTTGCGCCCAGGCCTGGAGATGGGACTGCCGAGCCCGTGCCTCCGCACCATGCATGCTCAGGAGGGCTATGGATGGAAGTCCAGGACATGGAGGGAGAGGACAGCCAGAAAGCTAGTGGGAACTGGCACTGGGTGGCGACCTACAGAAGGCCAGAGAAGCCAAGCAGTGCCCGCCTGTGATCCCAGCCACTCAGGAGGCTGAGGCCAGAGGATCACAAGTTCAAGGCCAGCCCCATCTCAAAGTAAGCAAACAGGACTAGGGGTACATCTCAGGGGTAGACCTTTTGCCCAGTATGCACGAGGCCCTGGGTTTAATCCTCAGTATTAAAAAAGAAAGAAACAAACAAAAAAAAAAAAAAGAAAAAAGAAAGAAATCAAGCTAACAGAAGCTTGGGTGACGTTAATAGAGGTGAAGGGCCTGGACTGGGGGAGGGGATGGGGTTCATTTCCTGGCAAGAGAGGCCACAGGAGCAACTGCAAACAGAAGCCTGTCCACACGGTGCAGGGACTTATTCTGCCTGGGTGGGTAGACAGAGTCCCAGACAAGGTGCAGGTGAAGGGCATTCGGGGATGAGGGCACGGAGGTCACAGGTGCGGGGCTGACATGGGGAACTGAGGGCAGGTGACCACTGCCCACCAGAGTGAAGCCTCTCCCTTGGAGGTGGGCGTGGGGCAGGGACCTTGCAGAAGTGGCACAAGGGCTGGCTCGAAGGCCAGTGAGATGGCTCTGTGACCTGCTTGTTTTATCTGCCACCAGCCTGTGCCACCCAAGCATGGCTCGGCTTGGCTTCCAGGGTGGGCACAACCTGCAGCTTCAAGAGCCACCGGAGGAAATGGGGGAGGCCGGGAGAGCCTGGGCAAGCTGCTGGGGGTGGGCTCATGGTCCCTGCCTGTGCATACAGGTGACATTCTGCAGGTGTGTGAGGGTCCTGAGAGCAGACCTCCACCCAGGCTGCCAGCTCAGGCCTCCTTGGGGACAGTCAGTGTGTCCTGTGTCCAGCTGCTCTGGGCAGCCTTCTGCTGTAGCTACAAGTATGACATTGTGGAGCTCTGGGTGCAGGATGAGGGTCAGGGGACACCATCCCTGAGGACATGGCTCTGGGGGACACTGGCTGGTGTCTGTGTGCAGCAGAAATGGAGGATGGCGGCTTGTGAGGCCCAGAGGAGAGGCTGGGTAGAGGTCAGAGGGCAGGGAAGCCCCAGGGCAGGGCGGGCACCTGAGACAGCAAGGACAGGCCCCGGGCGGACCCCAGCAATGACCGAGCTGTGCCTCGGACCTGTCCCTCCACGCTGGGGGTGAGGAGGCAGGAGGTGGCCTGCGAGGCGCCCTGAGGAGGGTCTCAGCTCTAGACCCTTCTTGGAGGAGCTGTGGGCGCTCCCTGTCCCCTCTGCAGGAGGAGGGGACACACAGACCAACAAGTTTGGGGTCAATTCCTGGGTGGCCACAGGGCATCAGAGGAGTGCCTGGGCTGGACTCCTCCAGAGCTGGGCTTTGACCCCTGCCCCCTAGGGCTTTCGTGACCCCAGGCCGGCGGGGTTTGGACCTGGGCAGCTCCACTCTGGGACAAGGTGGAAGAAGTGCTGGTGACAGTCGGGACCCCTTTGTGTACAGAACCCGGGGGAGGAGGCCCATGCCTGGCCCCCGCCCCCTGGGAGGGGGACGGAGGGGCGGGCGGCTCTGGAACCACATAGTACCGTGGGACAACTAAGGGACTGTATGGTGGGGACGTGGACCTGGGCGCCCAGGCGAGGAGCCCAGAGGGTGCAGCAGGGACAGTGGCCAGAGCTTGTGGTGACATCTCAGAGGAGTGCCACAAAAACCTGGGGAAGAGGTGGCAGGAATCAGGGGACAAGTCAGGAGGAAGCGTGTTCAGGGACCACATGGAAGAGGGACTGTCCAGAAATAAGGAGGGTCGCAGGTGTCTCAAGTTACGGAAAGGCGGAGGCGGGGAGGGCTGCGGACCCACTGGAGAGGGTCCAGGGCCGTGAGCCCAGGGCAGTGGCGGGTGGGGGAAGGGCGAGTGCTGGGGACAGGTCCAGCAGTGCGCAGGGCTGGGGGGACCCTGTGGCGGGGGGGTGGCTGTGCAAGAGAGCCCGTGGGAGGGCGTGGGGACAGTCTGCAGCTAGCAGGAGGGGTGACGAGGACGAGTGAGTGCCAGAGAGGTGGGGGCTGGCCTCGCCTCTGACTGTCCTCTCCCCTTTTGAAGGTGTAGGGGACCTTGTCCTTCTGGGAGAATCTGGAAGACGTCCTGGAAGGTGCATTTCAGAGGGAAGAAGGAGATCAGAGCAATCTCAAGATCTAAGGAGGCGGAGTCCACCGCCCAAAGTCAAGGACAAGGACCACTGAAGGGCAGAGACTTCTCACAGCTGGTGGCAGGTGGCGAGGCCTGTGGGCACTGGAGGCAGGGACCCTGTCTTATTCAATCAGCCACCTGCAGGCTCCCTCACGGGCCCCTCCATGCCTCTGCCCTGGTACAACCCCTGGTGATGGTGGCTGCGCCTGTCCCTGCCAGCAGGTGCTGGCCACATGCCCCTGTGCAATGGTGTCCCCAGGAAATTGCCCCTTCCTGGCGCATGGACTCTGCTTCTCCCTGGCAGTGGCACAGTACGGTGGGGATCCTGCTGCAGTTCCTGGCGCACACGCACCTTCTCTCAACCCGCCCCCCGCAGCAAAGCACCTTGGAGAAGTCCGTGCCCAAGTGTCCACCACACCTAGGACCCGCCAAGGCCTCCGCACATGGCCTTCCCGCCCGCCACCCCATTTCCTGGGCCTCCCTCCCACTCAGGGTCTCTCTGGCACCTCAACCGCACCTGACAGTGACCCCCGATGGCCAGGGCCGCAGCCCACGGTGACCCCATATTCACACACACTTCCCCAGCTGGGACTCTCACCCCCAGAGTGCCTCAGACACCCTGGACTGCAGTCTTTCTCGTCACACGAGAGAGAACACCCACATAGACACCCTCAGGCCTGCTGGTGACCATGCATGGCGGTCAGCGTGGGGACGTGGCCCCCCGCCCGCCATGTTTCTGCTTCACCTGGTGTCCCTGCTGCCCCTCGTCTACCTGGCAAGAGCCTCTACCTGCTTCAGCGACTCCACCCTGAGGTCCTTCAGCCTCTCACCAGGTAAGTGCTCAGTGACCAGCCCTCAAACAACAGGACCTGGGTGTCTCTTCCTGCCCCACCCTCCTCTGGGCTTGTGCCCAGCCTGGAGCATGTCCCTGGCCCAGAGCTGGCCTCAGTCACCTTCTGCTTCATACCCCGGTGGAGGGGTTCTGAGAGAGGTGGCCTCGTAGGGCGGGGTGGGCCTGGTCACATGTGGGGCCAGGTCATTCTTTGCTGTGGAGGACTGTCCCATGCCTTGTAGGAGAGCTAGCAGGGTCTCCTGGCTTCTGCTCTCAAGATGCCAAGGGTGCCTTCCTATTGTGACCGACAAAAACATCTGATATTGCTAAATGTCCCCAGGGGCAGAGTTGCCACCGGTGGAGAACTGCTGTCCCACACAAAGAAGCTCTTAGGGACTCCAGTTTCCTTAAGAACTTCTGGGTTTGGCTGTGGGAGCTGCCCTGACAGACAGCCACACCAGACAGACTGCAAAGACGTGGTCTCCTGCCATGGGAGGCAATGAGGAGAGGGTGCTGGGAGGAGGCCCTTGCCGCCCACATTGTGTGCCCACCGGCCTGTCACAGGCCTCATCAGAAGCCAGGAAAGACCCGGCAGCTGCTGGGTCTCTAGGTGCCTGAGGAGCACCTGACATGGAGCAGGACTGGGTGAAAAAACCCGCTCAGGGCCGGGCACGGTGGCGCACACCTGCAATCCCAGCGGCTCGGGCAGCTGAGGCAGGAGGATCCCAAGCTCAACCTGGCGAGGCCCTAAGCAGCTCAGTGAGCGATCCTGTCTCCAGGTAAAACATCAAAAGGGCTGGGGCTGGGCTCAGAGGTTGAGTGACTGGGGGTTCGGTCCCCAGTGCCAGAAATGAAACAAAAACCCAGACCATCACGGACCACCAGAACCCCTGCTCAGGCGCCAGACGACGCCTACACTGGGACATGGGGACAACCATAGCTAGGTGCTGGGCCCTGCGGTTTCCAGGTGTCCCAGGTCCCCAGAGTCCTGTGTGCTCAGCATTCTCATCACCCTACTTCTATGAGGAAGTAAAATTCACCTTTCAGAGGTGTCCCCAGTGTCCACTGGCCAGGCCACCAGTTGGTAAGAGGCGGTGCCTGGGAGCCTATGCAGTGCCACACCATGCCTCCCTCATCAGTGGGCAGGGCCCTCAAGCCTCAGTCCCTGCAGTGCCCACCATTGTCCCCACGGGGCAGCTCTGCTAAGGCTTGTTCTCTAGGGACTCTGCCGGGGTGCTGGGACGGGGAGCCTCCCTGCGACATTCTCAGCCTGAGCTGCTCGGACATGGTGGGCCTGCCGAGGCCAGGCAGGGCTGTGGGTCCCGCTCCATTAAGGATAGCTGCTCTGTGCTGGGTGGGTCACTGATGGCTGGGCTCCCAGGTTGGCCTGGCACGCCTAGGCCCAGGCCTCTGCCGCCTCGTGGGAAGCTATGGCGAGCTCCAGCGGGGACAGCAGGCTGCACACCCGCATGGCTGGCGTGCTGGGCCAGGAGGGAGCCACTCTCCAGGCTACCCTTCCCAGGTCCCGTTAAACACAGCAGAGGGCTCGAGGGCCATCTGCAATGGCCTTCTCAGAGGACCAGGAGGCTTATGATTTTGTTCAAGCACACTGAGCTACAGGGGAGGCAGGGAGGCCAAGGCCTGGAGGCCGAGCAGCTCGCTGGGTGCGGGGCGCCCGCTGCAGCCAGGGGAGGGAGTCCTGCTTCCTCATCCGCCTCGGGAGCTGGCAGCTTGCAGAGCGAGAGCTTGCACACCTCCAGCCGCACACCCCTAGCCCCGCACCTCCAGCCCGCACCCCTCCAGACCCACACCTCCAGCCACGGCCGCTGTGCTTAATTACATTTCACTTTAAGAGCACTTAGGGAGGCTTTCTGGGTAAAAAGACCTTGTGCTGCTGTTTGTCTTACACGTTATAGTTTAATTTCGTTAACAGATCTTTAAAAAGTGGGGGTGGACCCAGGCTAGCTGACAGAAGTTTCTGGAGTTAGACCCCAGATTGTCAAATGCCAAGCCTGCAGGGCAGGGTGCGCAGTCCTGTGCTGAGCTCCCTGTGGCAGGGGACTCGGGCTCCCCTCTGCCCTTGGGGCTCCTGCTACAGGAAATAAAAAATAAAAAATAAAAAATAAAAAAAGAATAAAAAATTCAGAGGGAGGGGCCGTGATTACAGGCCACACAGGGGAGCTTCATGATCATCATCTTGGATTAACACGCCACCAAGTAACCACTCCCCGACTGTCACACACCGCAGAGATGACAATTCTGTCCCACCCAGTAGATCTCAAAACAAGAGCACCCGAGTCACTTGGGTGTGGGCAGCCTCCCAGCCAACTCTGCCACCCAGCGCCAGCCAGAAAGAGGGCCCCTCAGGAGCCCCACATTCCAGAAACCCACAAGCCACTGAGCCCCCTCTGCTTCCCATGTGCCAGCTGACCCCCGCCTTGGCCTGTCCTTCTTTACACCAGGAGCCAGGGACAAAGTGAGGACCCCCCTGGCTCCCCAGAGCAGCGAGGCCAGGCCCCTGGCCAGGTGCAGGCAGCTCGGGAGAGGGACTTGGCCATGGCCTTGGCCACCCAAGCCCCAGTTATTGGGCTGCTACAGCCAGCCCCGCGCTGAGCTTGGCACCTTGGGCCTCCGTTCCTGGTCCCCACAAGCCTGAGACCAGGAAATGTCCCCATTTGACGGACAGGGAAGCAGGTACCAGTGAGGTAAGTTCTTGGGTCAAAGGTTGCAGACAGCGGGGGTGACATCAAGCAGGGAGGCTGGCCCCAGGGAGCTGTCACTACGTGCAGGACGGAGGACCAAGAGCATCAGGGGCGCGGTGCCCAGATCCCAGCGCTCCAGGCTTCTGCCCGCGAATGACCGGAAACCATGTGCCATAGGGCTCCGAAGCTGGGGGACAGCGGCTCGGACAAGGGCAGTTCTCACACTGCCCTTGGGACCCGTGGGCAGTGTTTGCTGCTTTCCTCAGGCCAGAGCACTTCAAAGAAAGACGACCCACACACCCTGTGTTTGTATAAAAGATATTTACTTCAATTATCACACCTAGGGTGCTAGTGAATAGTAATAATACATGGTGTGAGTTCAGTGATATTGCTTCTCCATATCATAGAGGGACCGTGTACAGTGCTGAGGACGAACATCGTATGGCTAACCAGACAGCGACACCAGGGACACCGGGGACACCGGGCCGACGGGCGCCTCCCCCCCACGCCAGCCTCGTCAACTTGACTTTCGATGTGGAAAACAAATAGCAAGAAACATGTCGTCAGAGATGAGTCACAGCAACACAAGGGGCTTCTCAAAGCTATTTGTACAAAAATGACGCCTTTTTTTTGTTGGTTTTTTTTTTTTTTTTGTTTTTCTCTTCTTTTTGGTCAATTGGGTCTTTGTGAGGATTAAGGAAAATAAATCTGTGATGTGAGCATTAACAGACGAGCTCTAGACACCTAAGACTTAGTGCGTTACAGAAAATATAAAATACTGCCAAAATGTAGGACGACACGGGGGGAGGGCTGGGCCGCCACTGTGAGCGTGTGCCAGTGTCAGGACAGGAGTGTGGCCGGCGCTACCCGCTCTCACCGCAAGTAGTTATTGCACAAAGCAAAGAGCGAGGTCTCATCCACGGGAAGGGACGCGGGAGGACCGTCTTCTTCTTTTTATTCCCCTCCCCACTTTTAGTTTACAATGAGCTATTCTCAAACACTTTAAGAATTTTGAACGAATTCTCACGTCTCCAAAATGCACAGCATTTTCTGAGGGGCTTCAGGGTGGGGGGAACACAGAGAATGGGGGAGGGGAGGGAGAAGGAGGGAGAGGAAGAGAGAGGGAGGGAGGGGGAGGGGGTGAGGCAGAAATGCATAGACTAATTAGAGAAAAATGGAAACCCTCTGGGGGGTGGGATGATCATTTCACTGGGGGGCCTGTATTTAAAGACAGAAGAACAAAATCAGGACCCCCAACAATCTCAGAGAAGGGGCAAAGTCATGGCACAGAAGGAAACGCTCTGCCAGTGGGCCGGGGCTGGGCACTCGTCCCCGGCGGGCAAGCGGCTGGGGTCTTGTTGGCTGTGCTTCTACCACCGAGCACTGGCCCTCACCAGGCCCTTCCTGCTCGTTACCACACTGGCGGGGAGAGAGACCCCACCAGGCCCTCCTGGGTGGGCCCTCCAGCCGCTGCTGGTGCTAAAGAACCCCTCTGCTTGGCGAGATGGTCTGGATCAACCTTGTGAGCAAGGGCAGCGACGGCAACAGAAAACCAACCAAAACACAGCGACCCGGACGGCCCCGCAAGAAACCACTCTCTTGCTGGAGGTGATGGTCCAGGCCAGGCCCCTGTGCCCTCTCTGGCCAAGACTCGCCAAACCTTCATGAAGCCAGAAGTCTTAACAGAGGCTCTAGGAGGCTTTGGGGAACTGAACTTGGCTCTCCTAAGCTCCCCCAGCAGCTCCTCCCCGAGCGCCCTGGCTCGCACTCCCTGCACTGCGGCTGTTGTCCGACTCTCGTTTACACAGTCAAGCCCAGTTTCCGAGTGGCTACTCAGGAGGTGGCTGTGATTCTGCTGGGAAACCCCCTCGGCTCCCCCAGCACCCCCAGGCTCTTGGGTTCTCTGGGGGCGAGGGGGCAGCAGAGGACAGTAACCACTGGAGTGACAGCAAAAAGCATTCGTAATGACAACAACAACACAAAACAACAACACACTCCTGATAATTACTCCAATGATTAACCTAATAATAAATAGAAGAGGATAGGTAGAAATAATTTTTTTTTCCTCAAGGAAATATCCTTTTATAGCTATCCTCGTGCACGCTGGCAGGTCAGTAGCAGTCAGGCCATCTCAACAAGACAGGGGTAAGTGCTGGGGCATGGCTGTGGGCTCAGACACTCGGGAAGGTTCTCAGCTGTGGACTCCCAGGCGCCCCACCTGCCCCGCCCGGGCGGCACTGTGTGGGGAGACTGCGGGCCGGGTGGCCTGTTTCCCCTCGGTTCCCCAAGACACAGAACTACAGTGAACATCCTCATCCACACCTGGATCCACCTGTCTAAAGCTTACTTTTGAGTTCATTTGGTGTGCAATACGCTTTTAAAAAATGAAGAAACATGATTTCTATTGCACAGAGCTTATACATAGTCATCTATTTAAGTGCTTTCTGTTTAAAGCAAACTACCAAACAACAAAAGAAGAAAAAGGGGGGAGCAGGAATCACAAAAGAAAAGCAGCCCCGGGCCACTTCAACGCAGTCTTGCTGAAGGGTGTCTTGTTTGCCTGCGGAAGTCCCAGCGCTGACTTCCGCACACTGTGCTTCTGGATTTTTCCATAGGGATAGAGCCGTGACATTGGGATTTAAGGCACCTTTCCTTTCTGATCACAGAAAGCTTGATACATAGCATACAGCAAATCTTGTGGTAGAAATTAAAGCCCAAACACTACAGAAACCACAGTAACACAGACTACAGCGTTAACATCACGGATCAACTAAAACCACCTGTGAGGAGCAACTCAAGGCTCTGGAGGCCGAGCAGCAGGGACGGTGGGCGCACTCGAGGCGCCTGGGGTCTGTCTCCCACTAGCCTTTCCCAGGATTCTTTGCCTATGATGCCGAACTTTTAAAGTTAGCATTTTGGAGGAGACTAGGCGCCTTGGAAATGTCTCGTTAAAGCTAAATGTCACTTCATCCAAAAATGAGAACTTGAGATGCCACTGACAGTGTGGACACGAGATCTTTGGAGGGGAGGTGGCAGAGGCAGGGCGCTGGGTGGCAGGGTGGGTCCCGGAGGTGGGCAGAGGGAGCCGTCTGTCCTACTTCCCTGGTTAGGGCTTCTGTGGCTGGGGCTCATTCTACGTCCTCTGCTCACTTCTTCCACCATGACCCTGAAGGGCCCAAAAGTGTTCTGAATCTTTCTGGAACTTGAGCTGGGGACTTATTTTCCTGGCAGTTTTCATCTATCAAAAAGGTAAAACTGATGGGAATGAAAGTAAGATTGGACCTTTCTCAGCCTGAAGTGTGCTGGCCAGATGGCACGTGTTGGAATGCCAGGCTGTCACCTTGCCCTGGTGGTCACAAGGGCTTTCCCTTCACTGCCAGTGCCCTGGTGACACTGAAGTGGTGGCAGCACTTTTTTCCTGGTAAGCCACCAGGCACATGGTAGGGACACAACTCCTGGCTCCCACTTCCATCTGAATGTTTTGGCCATCAGAGTAGCCAGAGCGGGTGGACCCACATTTGACCAGCTGCCCTGGGGGCCAGTTTTCTTCTGCCCTGGACAGAGACTGGCATAGTCTTTTGAAAAGACAGGGGGGAAAAAAAAAAAAGGACCAGCCCCACAAGCTGGAGAGAGCCAGGCATCTTCCCTGCCCTGGAGATGTCTGCGTTCGCCAACAAGAGCTTGCAGTGAAGCCAGGTTGTGGCCCCAGAGCCAGAGACAGGACACAGACAGCTGCGGAGTCCTGGGGAAGCTGCTCACGTGGCCATCTGGACAGCCCAGGGCAAGGGGGACGGCTGTGACAGACTTCACAGCAGCAGAAAGCAAAGGCAAACCAAAGACAAGGTCCTCTGAGGCCGGAACCACCCTGTCTGCAGAGGACACCGCACAGGACAGGTGAGAGCGGCTGGGAAACCCACGCACCCTGCAGAGTGCACCCCTGACGTCCTCGAAAAAGTAGAGGCCAAAGGCATGGCCGCCAGGCACGATGCTGACCTCGCTTTCTGAGCAGTGATGTCAAGGGGAGGGCACAGGTTAGTGAGGTAGAAGGGGACAAAGGAGGAGTGTGAAGATGAGGGGTATCCAGCCAGGGACAGAGGCGGCCTGGCGGTGGTAGCCAAGCTCCAGCCTTGAGTGTCGCGGCCTCCTCCCGGCCCCAGGTCACTCTGCTGCCCCTGCACAGCGGGCTTGTGGGCCTCAGGAGGACCGCGGGCAGATGTCTGCTCCTACCAGTGCCTATCACAACGCAGTTAAGGCAAAGGCTCCAGGTCTCGCCAGTGACCCCTCCACTTCACTTTGTGCTAAGAAGGAACCTGCATGTCCCCTGGGCTCCCCTGCCACTTTCCAGTGAGATTTGGTTTTATAAAATGAGAGGAACAAGAAACATTGCATAGAATGTCCAGAGTTCATGGTCACCCCAGAGAAGGATGGGACGGAAGAACAGAGGAGGAGGGCCAACTGCACTGGGGAAGGCGCCTGCCGGTGATGGAACTCGCCTGGTGGCCCTGGCCTATCCCTCTGAGGCCATCGCCTCTGCGTGATCTCAGGGCAGCTGGCCATCACCCAGGATCCCCACCAGCCCCTAAGATACAACCTGCCTCCTGCCTGGTCTGCTGCATGACAGGCCCTGGCCCTGGCTGAGATGGCAGATGGGTAGGAGAGCTGCCCACGTGGGTCTGGGGGTGGTGGCGGCGGCAGGCAGGCGGGGGGGGGGGGACTCTCTTGGCTACCATGAGAGGACAGAGGCTCTGGTGAGCCCTGGGTGTGGATCACCAACCATACCTGACTGCCCACATCAGACAGGGGGTCTTTTAAATAGGGAGGAAGGAGAAACCACCAGGAACGTTGCTGGGCAGGAGGCCTTTGTGCTTTGGAGGGACAGGAGGTGTCCCAGGGAGGCTGAGCGCCGTCTCTTTCACCTGATTACTTTAGGAGTGCTGTGGTCTGCCAGTGCAAACGGTGCCTGGGCACTTCTGGAGGCTTCTCCCAAGCCTGCATCCCAGGGCACGACCACCAGATGCTATGGGTCATCATGTGCCTCAGACAGGTTGGTGAGGACAATCAAGTCCAGCTCTCTTCCTCAGAGAGGCCTGGAGGACAGAAACCAGACTTCCTGACTGATCCACAAGGCTGGGGTGGTGGGGAGCAGTCTGGGACATGCCTGCCACTTTGGATACGGTAAGGGGACTTGGATGGGAGGCAAGGTCAAGGGGCCAGAAGCCAGCACTACTTTTAGGTCTGGCCTCTGCTCAGCAGGAAACTGAAGCTCTGAAAGCCACCTCCCATTAACAGAAAGGAGCCATTTAAAATGGCAATAATGGAGCTTGTAATTAAGTGTTAGTGTTTTCTATGAAACCATTTCCCCCAGGGAGAGGTACAAATCAGCTTTTTAAGCTGATAGAGCATAAAGAGGAGGAGGGTCGGCTGCCTATGTGAGCCACTGTTTGGATCGCCAGCTGCCAGAAGGTCACCGCACGGAGGGGCGCTGTTCAAGGCACTTGAATATTGCTTATCAAGATGAAAGATGAACCTTAGACTCAACAGAGGGGCTGGCGGGGGGGGGGGGGCTGAGCCCCACTCCACAGGTATCTGTGTTATTGAGCGGCAGCTCCTAAAAGTATCACAGACAGAACTAACTTAACACAAAAGACCAGAGGTTGGAATCTCAATTAAAAAAAATAAATAATAGAGAAAAAATACAAACGTGGAACTGCAAGCAAAATCCAACTAACCAGCTGATTGTATCGAGCACCCAGATGTAAGTCTGGCAGAAAAGACGAGGTGGAAGTCAGCGGGAGCCCAGCGCAACCAAGGAAACAAACCCAAATGACTGAATTGCTCGGAAGAGCTCAAGTGGCTGCTGTAGGCCGTCACATCGGGCCACGAGGATGGACAGATCTAGACTTTGCAATTCCTCGGCCTCAACACCTGGTGAATAACAGTCACGCCTTTAGAACGGAAGCACTGGCCCAGCGGCTCCCACCTACTCCCTGCTTTTCCTTCTAACGAAAAGTGGATATTCAGAGATTCATCACACATGTGACAACGTTCCCTTGAGGTTCTTGTGGAGGGGACACCACAGTACCATCAGCTGCTCTGCTGCTCCTCACTGTCCTCAAGGTCCCTGGTGTGAACGCACTCTTCTCCGCGCACCTGCATTGAGCCGATGTCAATCATTCCCCTTAAGCTCCTCCATTGTGACTTCTCTTCTCACTGAACCAGATTTAAAGTTCAGAAATGACGCAACCATCCAAAGACAAACAAAGGGCCTGCCTCCCAGCCTCCTAGAGCCTTCTGAGAACTTCTTATTCATGAAAAGGCATTGTCTTTAGTGTAGTGACTCTTAAATTTGTGAAAACTTGAACTAAGTGCTGCAGCTGCAGGTTAAAAGACTGTAAATGAAATACATAATCTCTAAAACATCATGCAAGAAATGTGGTTTCACATCTTACAAAGTCCTACACGTTAAGTAATAACAAGCACACTGAGGTGTAATAGCGGGAGCATACCTTTAGAATTAGAACTCCCTCCCACCCCCCCAAATCAAAAAAGTAATATTAATTAAACTTAAGAAATAATGAATGCACCATTAAAATGTCATCCAAAGATGTTGACCTAAGACAAAGGTTTCAATGATACACAATACGGTCAAAAAGTTTTCAATCAGTAATATACAGTATGACAACTACATCTTGTAAATTATACCCAATACTGCCGGCAGTCTATCCCTCTAAAGAATATTTGCCCCTTTCATCCCTTCCTAACAATCAGATAATAAAATACAGCACCTATAAATAAGCAAAAAAAAAATATATATATATATACCGAAATCATCTATTGTTAGTTTAAAGATATGGCAATAAAGGAGTCTAAATTAGCAAACTTGTAGAAGCCATAACTGATAAACAGCTTATTGAAAAAGGTGGCAGTAATGCACTCTATGTGTGCACAGGTACTTAAGAAAATACACAGACGTATAAAATTGCACACACGCACGCACGCACACTCTCATCCACCTCTATTCTCACGCGTATACACATAGACAACAGGAGGAATCCGAGACAAGTTAGACTTTTGATTTGTACTTTGAGTGCCCTAAACTGTGCATAAAAGAACCCTCCAAGAGGCGAAATGGATGAAGGGCCAATGGTCTGGTCTGGAAGTGAAGAGCATCAGCGTTGTGTGCGAGTGTGGGCTTCTCTACAGGGGTGGGAGCGCAGCCCAGACTGCCACATTCTCTTCTGCAGGGGGTCATCAGTGCTTGTGGTGGGAAGAAGGGGAAAGAGCGCGCGTGCCAGCCCGGCCCAGGCCCAGGCCGCCCCTTCCGCTGGGGGCCAGGGCGGTGGTGGGAGGTGAGGCGCCCAGTGCGGAGTGCTGCACGCGGCAGGCCAGCCTGACCCAGGACTGCCTGCCGCCACCTTGTCGGCCTACTCTTCCCTTTCTCTCAATGCTCGTACATGGGCGGACGCACGAACATAGACAGGACTCCATAAATTAACAAAATGAATGGGTACATGCTACAGTTCTAACTTGTCTCCTAAACCTCCCAGATATGAGGTCTGATCAGCGTGCTCTGCGGTTAGAGGTTAAAAAGCAGATTATAAAATACCTAGATTCGGATCTTTTCTTTTTGTCCTGATTTGGCCTAGAATGGAGTGTATTAAACAAACCCTGGTCGGCAAAAGCCCAGGGTCAGTTAAAGCTATGGATCAATGTGCACTACATGTCAGGATTCTATTCACGTACGAGAAAACACTACGGTCAGCTACCACAAAATCAGATATTTTCCTGATGTGACTTTTCTTTTTTGTTAAAAAATATGTGGAGTAAATGTGTTTTATTTTAAGTCAAAGTTTCAAACGAGAAGATTCTTTTCTTGAAAATATTTAGGAATCCAAACTAGTGTGTTTAGAGTCGGTTTGACTGTGCAATCTCTTAGTGGCAACTGAACAGCTACAAAAACTTTCTTTTTTAATTTTTCTGAAAAATCCCCCCCACCCTTTTCCTGGTTTAAGAAGATAATAGTGTATTATCGCTCTGAAGCCATCAGATGGCAGATAAAAAGCCCCCTTTTAATATGTGGGTTTGATTTTTTTTTTTTAAGCCCACACGAAAGAGGAGGGCGCAAGGCAAAGCTGTAAGAGTTATTCCAGAACCTGTGGAAATCACTTAGGGCAATAAAAAAAACACTTCAGGGTACAAAAAAGCTCGACTACACATTTCCGTTTTCTTCCTTGAAAACACGACATAGATTGGGCTTAATGCTCCTTTGTTTTCTATATGCACCTTGGCCTATGGCGATTTTGCCCTGTGGCCCGCAGGGCGGTAAGTGCGCAGCGCGGTCCTGCGGCGCGCCGCCCTCGCGGACTGGCCCGGCTGGGCAGGCGCTCCGCGGCCGAGGCCCGGGCGAGGCCGGCGGGCCGCCCTCAGAACTCCCATTCGATGGGCTCCTCCCGGCTGGCGGCCTTCTCCAGGCGGTGGATTATGCTGTTCAAGTTGGCGGCCTTCTTCTTGCGCAGGGGGTTGTCCCGCGAGTCCCGGGCGCCCGCCGCCTCGGGCAGGCCGAAGAGGCTCTGCAGCGAGCTGGGCCTGCGCGCGGCCGCGGGCGCGCTGGTGCTTGGCAAGGCGCAACTCCGCTCGGCGCCGTCCCGGGCCGCGCCGGGGCCCTCTGCGGGCGCGGCGGCTGAGGTAGCGGCGTCCTCCCCGGTCGCAGGCGCGGCGGCGGGGTTTGGCACGGGCGCCGGGCCGTCGGGGCCGTCCGGCGGCCGGGGCCGTCCTGCGTCATCGGCGTCGTCCGGGCCCGGGGTCCCCGGCGGCGGCGGCTCCGCCCTCTCCGCCGGCCGCGGCGCCTCCTCCCGCGGTGCCGGGGCCGAGGCCGCCTCGGCCGGCCCTCCCTGAGACTTGGCGGCGGCCGCGGGGCCGCCCGGCTCCTCAGCGTCGTTGGCCTCCACGCCGTCGCAGCTGTCGCCCTCCGAGCTGGGCGCGGCGCGGCCGCTCCGGGCCGACGGCGAGTCGCTGGCGCCCGCCTGGCCCTGGCTCCCGGCCTGGATCTCCTCGATGAAGAGCTCTCTGCGGATCCGAGACCTACGAGACACAAGCGGCGAGAGCCGTGAGGCGAGGACTGCGGGGACTGAGCCGCCCTCCGCTGCCCGCGCCACCCCTGGGCACCTGCGCCCCACGCCCCTGTGCGGTCCTAGGGTTGGAGCTCCGCCGGGGCTTATCCAAAGGCGCCTTTCCTCTCCCAGCTGCATTGCGAAAGGCCGGGTTCCTTTGATTCAGTTCACCTGGCATGGTGCTTGGCGACCGTGATATGTGCTGGCTTAATTAATAAAGGACACTGCATGGTACCCACTGTCCTCACTAGGACCTCATGGGAGAAAACCAGTTATTGGTCAGCGCCCAAAGTGGGGATCTTCCACTTCAAGCTCTAAGCCACAGAAGGTCAGGGGCTTCTAGTAAGAGATCACCAAATTGTATATTTTTTATTTTTTTAATTTATTCTTTTTTTTTAAATTAAAAAAATTTAATTGTAGATGGACACAATATCTTTATTTTTATTTATTTATTTTTATGTAGTGCTGAGGATCGCATCCAAGGCCTCATGTGCAAGGCAAGTGCTCTACCGCTGAGCCACAACCGCAGAGCCACAACCGCAGAGCCACAACTGCAGCCCCACTTTGTTCTTTTTTGTTGGTGCACTAAAATATACATAATAATGAGATTTATTGTGACATTAATACACGCATGTAACATAATTTGGTCACTTTCATTCTCCAGTACCTCCCCTTTTCTTCCTCCTCTCCTTCTTTCTCCCTGGTATCCTTCTACTCTGTTGGTCTCCAAATTGTGTTTTGGACCAAATCTCCTCTCTGAATGGAGAAGGTGAGGAAATGGACACTTGATTCCACAGAGAGCACCAAGTATGTTCCAACTGTTCAAGCAGTTTTTTTTTTTTTCTTTTGCTGTACTGGGTATCGAACCCAAGACCTTGTGCATGCTGGGCAAGCACTCTGCCGCTGAGCTGCAACCCAGCTTACGCAGGTCTTAACCCAGCCTTCTCCACCTACAGTAGAAGACATGCTCGGGTACTGTACTGAACCGCTGCTACCTACTGCAGGTGGTGTGTGTGTGTGTGTGTGTCTTCCCTTTAAGAAAGAACTGGCATTGGAAGCCATGGTCTTCCCTACTTTGGAACCCTTGGTGGTGCCAATGAAAGGGCACCAGTTCTTCTTCCCACCACACTCACAGTATGAGCCTCCACAGGCCTTCTCTCCAGGCATTTCTCCAGAGGGCTGAAAAAGCCTCTGAAAATGTGCACATGTCCACTGTTGGAAAAGCCTTGTGGGGCAAATTAGCACCAAGCCAGCGTCTTGCACCAAGCCCCAGGGTTAGGCATGCTTGGGAGGTTTTCTGCAGTGCTTATGACTCAATAAAGAGGATAGTCTGGAAAGCCTGCGGTCAGCCAGGTCCTGCACCTGGGCCTCGTGGAGCCAGGAAGTGGAGAGCTGCGGTTCTGTCCAGGACATCAGAACTCTGGGGGTATCTGTCAACCTGTTCTGCAACTATTTGCTTCGTGCACATGAGTGAGCTCAGAATCTTGTCCTAAGATTCTTGAGATATGGTTCAAAAGGCAGGGTTCTGAGAAGCCCCCAGCAAGTTCTCTGGGGAAACAAGATTCCCCACTTCCCTGGGACAATAAGGGGGGCCTGGGAATGGCAGCTGCCATGATCAGTCCTGGTGCTGTGCTGGGAGGGTGGCCCTGCTCTTGACTGGCTTCCAAGCCCCTTGGCAGTGAGAAGGCCTGGCGAGTGAGCAGCCAGTACCACCCTGCCCTGTTAGGAGGTGACAGGCAGCTAAGGTTTGGTTCTTGCCAGGCCCCAAACAGAGTGCAGGCATCTTGGAACCAAGTTTGCAATCTGGCTCTGCACTGGACGTGCAACTTGGACAAGACAGTTTGACCTTTAAGCTTTAGTTTTCTTATCTGAAAAATGAGAGAACACTTTCTTCCTTGCTGAGCAGTTATAAAGATGAAATAAGGTATTAGATGTATAATATTGGACACAAAGTAGACCAACAGGAACAGTAACTCTTCTTACTGCCCAGCTGCCTCTTACACAAGAGAAGGCACACAGTTGAGCGTGAGTTAGCGGGCACACAGTTGAGCGTGAGATAGCGGGGCCAGGGCTGGCAGGAAGGCAGGCTGACGCCTGGGGCATGGGCCCTGGCTTTTACACTTGCAGCTTGGTTGACTCCTGGGACCCTTCTCTGTAAAAAGGGCCAGAGGCAGTCCTTCAATGCAGGCTGGAAGACGGCATGAGATGAAACAGCTACTAAACGCATGGCCCAGTGTTTGGCAAATGAGATGTGCTCAACAGATAGGAGAGAGACTCATCCTTCTCTGCTTAAGACTTGTCTCCATGTTCATAAGGAATATTTTCTTGGGCTGGGGGACAGATTAGAGGTAGAGAATTTGCCTAGTGTGCATGAGGCCCTGGGTTCAATCCCTAGCACGGTAAAACCAAAAACCTAGAATTAGGAATATTATCTTCCATGTAGAAAGATGGGGTTCTAGGAGTGGTTCTATTTTTGTTTTTTCTTTTTTTTTTCATTTGGAGACAGGGTCTCACTAAGTTGCTGAGGCTGGCCTTGAACTGTGATCCTCCTGCCTCAGCCTCCCCAGTTGCTTGGATTACAGATGTGTGCCACCATGCCTGGCTATTTTTTTAAAACATAATTTATTAATTTGGGTGCTGGGATTGAACACGAAGTCCACGGAGCTAATCCCCAGCCCTGGTTCTAGTTTTGACAAGTTGCACAGGCTGGCAGATGCCATGGCATTTAAGGATCAGCAGTTTCCACTGAGTGAACCTGTTGTTCCAGAGGAGGCCAGTGTCCTTGGTGTGTTCTGCATTCCTGGGGACAGGGTCAGCTTGAGATATTTCTAATTCCCTCAGGATAAGATAAGGGAAAAGCTGTATTTTTTTGGATGAGGGCATTAACGGACCCCAAGTGAGGGTCCCAGTGGGACAGAGAAAATCAACTTTCCCTGTTTGACCCCTTGGAAGGCAGGTCAAAACCTACCTTAGGATTTTAACACACTCAGGGCATGGGCCAGCTCTTGCAGTGAGCCTGGTGGCTTACCCAGGGCCAGCTGCTCAGCGCTGAGGGTCTCTAGGGAGAGTTACCTGAAGCCAGGGAGAGTACTTGGGGAGAACCTTGGCTTTTAAGTTTGCCCGCTGCAGGCGAGGGACTCGGCTCTCTGAACCTTGGGCCTTTATTTTTTGGTGGGATGTGGAACCCCGGGGCCTATGCATGCTGGAAGGTGCTCTATCACTGAGCTGTGCCCCAGCCGGCCATCTGAAAGGACCTGGTGCTAGCTTCTAATTCACGGGACTTAATTTATCTAGTTCTCCTACTTGAGTCCACATGTGCAGCCCTGCCCCTCTTGCCCCTCCTCCAGATCTCGGTGGCTGAACCTGTCGTGGCCCTTGGTCTCCACTTGACTTGGCCCAGCCACTTTGTTGTGCATGACGTGAAGGCTCATCGTCACAGTTCAGAAGTCCTGCGACTTTCCCCCCCTCCCTCTGTTTCTGCCAAGGGTGGGTGGTTGAATTTGCTTTTGCTAAGTGCAAAAGAGAGGATGTCCACAATGGCTGGCTGGCCACCATGGGATGGGCATTAGTGTGGCTGTCAGAGGCTGGCAAGCCAAGGGACAGCAGCTGGGGAATCTGAGGAGCACGCTGGCCAGGAGGCCAGTGGGGGGCTCTGGGAGAAGCCACCAGCAGGGCAGGGGAATGGCTCAAGATGGTCTGTGGGCTTGAAGCACCTGCGTCCAGATCCTTAGCCCTCTAGAGCTCCAGGGCTTCCACATGACACTGAGAGTCAGGCTCCTCATAGGACTGTGACAGACCTGCAGAGGCACTGCCCGACCCTGGCAGGGCCAGCAAACCTGGCCCACATTTCCATTTGCTCTCCTCTGTTTCATGGTTGGGGAGCAACAGGACCCTAACTGCTGGCCTCCGTCTGCCTGTTTTGATCTGACGGGTGAACGTGGGGTGAAGGTGCTGTTTGTGTAGTGTCCCTGTACTTTCTCTGTCCTCGAGGAGACAGCCCAGGGCCAGTGCTGCCTGGCTGGAGCAGTCTGCTTGGCCCGAGGGCTCTGGTAGCAGGCTTTCGGGCCCGCTCATGACTCAGCCTTCCCTAGTAATCAGGGTGTGGTTTGGCTCCTATTTTAAAATTCCCCTCCTTATGCAGAACCCAGGTGGTTTACTGGCCCTTTAGAGACCCAAGCAGAACTTATGGGTGGGGGAGGCCCAGCCAGACTCCTCCCTCGGGTCCCCAGGGGCCTGTGATCCTCTGCTGCTGCCACTTGTTCTGGGTGAGCAGTTGTGAGATCCCCACCTGCCCTGGCTAATCATGTGCCATGTCACGTGGATCACCCAGAAGTGCCTGCTCCAGTTTTATTGAGTCACAGAGAAAATGACATTCCCTTGAAAACCAGCACTTATAACAGGTTCTGGGACTCCTAGTTGCTGGCAGCAGGAGTGTGGTTGTAGCTCTGGCTTAGGGTCCTTCAGGGTCCTTCAGTGGGTTTCCAGGCTCCTGCCTGCAGAGCCCTGGGCCCTCACCTGCTCAGCCTCCTCGAGCTCTCTGCAGAATGAAGACAGCCCCACACCCATGTGCTTGTGAGGACCAAGGGTGGGACGTTGGTGAGAACACTCACTCAGACCTAGTGGCCACTCAGGAAATCCCGGTCAACTCTTGAACTTTCCCTAGGAAGGTTCTCAGCTATTTCGTTACAAAACTAATCAAGCTGATTTTGAAAACAATACTTTAAAGACCCTGAGAAGACACAAAATTACCATGAAAGAAACGCTCACTACCAGGGGACCTAATAATTGCCTACGCTGTCCCTTGCTGAATGATACCGTTGAGAGGTAACATTTTCCTGGTCACAGCAGATGTGGACTGTGACTATGTGACACTGATAGGAAGGAGCTGGCCCTTCAGCCTTGGAGTTAAAACTGCCCATCAGACAACATGGAACCCCCACCCACCCACGCAGAGGGCTTGGGATTCCAGGGTGCAGCAGGCCGTACCTGTAGTTGTGGAACCAGTTGATGACGGTGCTGGTCTTCAGGTTGAGCTGGGTGGCGAGCTCCTCGATGGTTTTTGGTGACGGGTATGGCTTCTGCTGATAGGCTCGCTTCAGAGCCTCCTTCTCTTCGGGAGCCAGCACCACGCGGGGCTTCTTCAGCTGGTGCTGTGGCTGGGGACTGGCACCCTGGCTGTAGTCAATGCCCACCGCGGGGGGTTCACAGGGCTGGCTGTCGCTGACGGAGCTGTGCCTTCGCTTCATGTAGGCTGTGGGGACAGACACCAGAGTGAGGCCAAGGTCTCCAGCCAGGCAGCCCGGCGCCCTGGCCCCCTGCGTAAGGGTGACAGTGTGTCACCAGCCTGCTGGTGCTGTGTGGAGGGCACCTCCACGTGCCTGCACTAGAACCATGCTGATCCCAGACACACGCACAACAGGGGCCCTGCTCTGACGTCACATGGGTCCCTGGCTGTCCCTGCACAACCTGACAATTCAATGGGGGCTGCAGAGAAGGATCCAGATGGATGTCCAGAGTGGAGTGGGACAGGGAGGCAGCTGCAGGCGTTGTGGAGGGACATGGAGGGATGGCAATGGGCTGGACTGGGGTGGGCCGAAGGGCTCTGCTTTGCTGGGGAGATATCTTGAAGGACAGGAGGGAATAACCAGAAAATGCTGGCCGTGAGACAGAGAGGGCTGTTGGACAGCAGAGCAGCGTGGACCAGGAAGGCGTGAACTGGGCTAACTGTGGGCATGTGCATGCGTGCATGAGCGTGCACACAGTGGGCAGTGGTGGTGGAAGGCGATGTAGAACAAGAAGCTGAGCGTGGGCAGGGCCAGGACGGGCCCAGGCTGATCTCTGCGCTGACGGCAATGAGTGAAATGGAAGGATTTTAACCAAGTAGCTTAGGAGGACAGTTTGGGTCACAGAGGGCCTTAGGGGACCGACCACAGGAATAGACGCTATCTAGAAGCCAATGACAAGGAGAAGGTGAGGGGTCAGAAAAGAACCGTGGTGGACACCAGCACACAACAGTGCTTCCAGGGAGAGGCCACGAGGGCCACAGAGGCTGGGAGGACAGCCAGGGCACGGTGGGATCCCAGAGGGGCTGAAGGAGGCATCAGATGCTGCAGGAGGAGTGTGTGGCGAGGACCCAGGTGTCCCTTGGATGCAGTTGATTAGGAGGGGGATGGAGACATGAGGTTGTGGCGGGCAGACCCTGGGAAGCTGGGGTGGCCAGCAGGGGTCACGCCCCAAGAGGCTGAGCCATAAGAGGGGAGAGGCGGGGTGGCTTCTCGAGGGCAAGTCCAGGGCTGAGCTGGCAGATGCTGTCCCTGCACCGAGGGGAGGTGACAGAGAGAGCAAGCTGGCTGCTGGGAAGGTGAAGATGGTTTGAGTGGGGTGGAGGAGGGAGGGGGGCCAGGTGTGGGCTCCAGGTGGGGCCAACGCATCTTCTGTCCTCAGGGGAAGGCAGGAGGAGAGAATGAAGTTGTGCCGGGAAGTCACGGGCACTGGGCCTGAGGGCCAGGCGGGGCTGGGAAGCGTAATGAGGGACTTCAGGGAAGCTGGAGATGCCACCTGGGAGCAGAAGCAGCCCAGTATGCAGACTCCACAAGACCCAGCAGCCCAGGGAGGAGGGGGAGATGGGAGAGGAGCACGGTGGCTGGAGGGATGGGGGGTGCTGTGGACTCGAGGCCTGGGGAAGGAGATACAGGCAGAGGGAGCTGGGTACCAGGGCTTAAGATCCAGGAGCAGAGGAGTTTGGGGCATAGCCAAGGGCTGAGGATGTTAAAGGACTTGAGGCCCAGGTGCTGGACAGGTCTGGTGGGCCTTCTGTGTGGGGAGTAGAGTCCCCTGGCTGAGGCAGGACCGGGGACATGGAGGAAGGCCATGATCCCAAGGCCATGGTCTTTAGAACAAGCAGAGAGTGAGCAGGAGGCTGTGGGTGACCGAGACAGGGAGGCGCACAGCCCGTCTGCTGGACTGGCTGAGGCGGCAGCATGAGGTTACAGCGAGGCCTGGGGCTGGGGGGCTTCGCAGGCTGCCTGGAGGGGCTGGGGGAGGAGGACCCGGGTGGCCAATGAGCGGAGTCGGGGGTAGGCCTAGTGGTGCCTGCTGTGGGGGGTCGTGCCTGGTGAGGGGGGATGTGCCTGGGTGGATGGCAGGCCTGGGCACTGCTGGTGCCGAGGTTCTAGGCTTCACCTTTTCCTCTGCCCTGTGTGCTGGTCACTGCCCACCATGCTTCAACTCTGCTCTGCTCTGGAAAGGAACCCCCTGCACCCATCTTCCCGTGGACACTGGATGGGAGCCTGGAGTTCTTCCCCAGCCCTTGTGAGCGACAGAAGATATGAAGCCCTGACTGGGACGAGAGGCACCTCCAGCCATAGCAGCAGCCACTCGCTCCCTCCCCAGTGGACCTTGGGGAGAGCAACCCCTATGTGTTCAGTTTATAGGTGAGGAAACGGAAGTATGGCGGGTTTCAAGACTTCACTGGAGGTCACATGGCAGGTAAGGGACAGGGCCGAGGCCTGCTGTCCGGCTGCGGAAGGGGCAGGCCCTGAACAGAGTCCAGTGGGGGCCACAGCAAGATGGCACTCAGGCCTCAGATGAACGTTGGAGGAGAAGCCTGGGTCATCGGGCCACCAATGTGAGGGAGATAAGAGAAGGCGGCAGGGGTTTGAGTGAAACAGACACAGGGGAGGAAGGACACATCAGCTCTTGCGGGAGAAGAGATGAAGCTCTGAGGGAGAAGCAGCACAGGGTCCCTGTGGTTATGTGGTCTGCATGATCTGCAGCAGAGGCTAACTTTCTGTTTAAAATTTGTGTGGTCATAGAGACTGAACCCAGCCCTTCAGCATGCGACGCAAGGCTCGACTGGGCACATTAATTTGAAGGAATACAACTCATTTAATGAGCACTTGTTAAGCTAAGTCCCCACCCCGCAGCCCGTATAGTGAATCAAACCCAGGACCTCGTGCATGTTAGGCAAGTGCTCTACCACTGAGCTACACCTCTAGCCCTTGAAAATTTTATTTTGAGACAGGGTCTCACTAAGTTGCCCAGGCTGGCCTTAAACTTGGGGGATCTTCCTGCCTCAGCTTTCTGCGTAGCTGGAATTACAGGTGTGAACAGCTGCACTCTTTCTAATAGTCACGGCCTGGAGAAGTTAGCATTTTTACCCTCAGTTTGCAAGGGTAGGAGTTTAGGCAGGGGTGGTGCTTAGCTCACCTGACATTTTATTAGTACGACCATAGAACAATTGAGAAGGTAAATTTCCTCCATAAAATATCAGTACAGTCTAGTCAAGGGCCAGACAGAAACAAGCCTAGACTGCCTGGTGCCCAGGGCCCTCCCCTTGCACTGGGAGGGCCCAGGAGTTGGCAGTGACCCGTGGCACTGAGGGAGGACTGGGCTCAGGCACCTGCTGTGTGAGTGACCGGCTTCGCAAGTGAGCAGCCCCAGTGAATGACACCACAATGGGACAGCTCGGGGACCTGGCATGCTGGGAGGCCCAGGCCCTGCTGAGACAGTGACTCTTTGGCAACACAAGATGGCGCCAAGAGCCAGTGTGGAAGGAGGTGCAGAGCCTGGGGAGCCCCTGCAGATCTGTGGGGACTGAGGTCCTTTCCTACCAGCCCAGGATGGGAAACACAGTGGAGAACAGTGGACTCAGGCCCTCCCCTCTCCTGATATACAGAGGGAAACCCGCTGCTCGGGAGGTGGCTGGGAACTCGCTGGGCAAGAGCAGCCCTGGGCTCCTTGGCTGGCAGAGCGCTTGGGGGTGTGGGGTTCTGGACGCTATCACTCTGCTTTTAGTGGGACTTCCCTAACGTGGTGTGGTGCCAGGCCGCTGGGACTGTAGCGCCATCTGGAGCTGCCCAAGAGGCTGTGGCCTTGGTCCACACACCTAGGTCTGAGGGGCCCTCTGATGGCTGGAATGCCACAGCCCAGGCAATGCCCTGGGACCCCAGGAGTGGCAGCCCTTGGCAGGATGGCAGCACAGGGCCAGTGTGGATCAGGTGGCCCTGCGGGTGAATGCTGCCCCTGCTCCTCTCAGGCCACCCTCTCAGCACCCATGCTCACCTCTCCACATGCGGGCACCTAAGCTGCTCGGGGAGGTGGGTCAGTGAAGCTCCAGCACAGGACCCGGCCAGGGGAAGCACTGGGAACGGAGCTGCTGGCAAAAGACCCAGGTCCAGAGGGCTCTGGAGAGGGCGCTCGGACGCTGCTCCTTGGAGCCCCAGCCCATTCCCTGGTTGGGGGCGAGCAGGGCTGCTGGGATGGACTCTCCTGGGGAATTAGGAGGCTACCAGCCTGGGCTCCCCACCCACCTTGGGCTAAGGTGCCCTGGGTGTGGGGCCAGGCAGAGCCACATGGGTGCTGGTGATGGCCATACCGTGTTAAGTCCCTCTGCATTAGCTGAGAGGAGGGTGGTTATCACTGGTATCCATGTGCACCTGAGGGATTTGGACTCATCACCCCGTGGGCTACGGAAGGTGATGGGAGGGAATGGGGGCCCTGGTAGCGCTCAGGGAGATGGCGCAGATGCAGCTCTCCACTGCAGGAGACCAGGCTGGGTTACCTCAGTGGAGGCACCAACCTCTCTGAACTCGAGTTTCCTAATCTACCCGTCTCTCCAATAACACAGGGAAGTGGCTAGCATGTGGTACATGTGCAGCAGACACTTGAACACCCCACCCACAAGCAAATAAGCTGTCACCTGTGCTTTGCCCTCAGTGGTAAGAGAGTTCACATTCAGGCTGCTGGTCAGAGGCAGCCACGGGTCTTCCCAGTCCTCTCAGGTATTCATCAGCTGAAGATTACCCCCGAACCCTCTGCCCTGCCCTATAGTGCCTTGGACAGGGACCCATGGCCTCATTAGCTCTGTGTGAAGGACTTAAAGAAAGGGCCTGCTGGTGTCGTTCAGTGACAAAGGGCTGGCCTGGCATGCGCAAAGTTCTGGGTTTCTGGGTACCTGCGATAAAACCAACCAACCAACCAAACAGCTGTCGTGAAGGAGGAGCCCCCCCTGGGCGGTGGGGGGTGGGGTTACCTTTCTTCTCCATCCGCTTCATGTCCATCAGCTTCTCCACGTTGTTGGGATCATTTAGCCACAGCTGCATCCGGACAAAGGGCTCCCGTCCCTTCAGACTGAGCTTGTGCCAGGGTTTAGGGCGGGCAAGGAGGTCAGAGACGGAGCCTTGGGTGAGCCCCAGGATGGTCTCCCCAAACAAGCGCTGACCTACAGGGAAAATGGAAGCAAGAGACGGTCACCAAGGGCCAGGGATCTGGGAAGACAAGTAGGGTCAAGTTAAAATCAGTCACGGGTTCAGTGGTCCACAGTCTGGCCAGCTGGGGCCTGGCTCAGAGCCAGTCCTTTGCAGAAACATTTCTTTTCTTTTTGTGGTGCTGGGGATGGACCCAGGGCCTCATGCATGCTAGGAAGTGCTCGGCCACTGAGCACACCCCAGCCCCCAAACACTGGCAAAAGACCCCACTGGCAAGGGAGCTGGCACCAGGCCTGCGTTCCGTGTTTACCCAACACGTGATGCTTCTCTCAGAAAAGCCTTCAGGCACCCGATGAACTGAGTCTCGATGCCACCTGGGGCATTTCTCAGAGGCAGTTAAGTCCCCAAGCCCAAGTAATAGCACAGGGCGACCCTCCTGGGTTCCTGCCCAGCAGTGCCTGTGTCTCTTCTTGATTAGCAGCGTTATGGGTCTTGCTGGGAAGACAGGGCACTTGACCAGGGTCACAGCTGGAGAGAGGAGGGAGCATCCCAGCTTTGCCTAGGCAGGCAGCCGCTCCTGCAGGCCCGGCCCTAGCTGATTGCATCCCTCCTGGTGCCCTTTCTTCTCCCAGGCGGGGGTTACAGAGCCCTGTGGCTGTGGAGAGTGTAGCAGTGCCCAGTCTGCAGGGCTCACAGGCCTGGAGGAAGGTCAGCTTCTTCCAGGGCCTGCGGCTGTGGGTGGGGAGAGCCACCGCTTCCCCTGACCTGAATGGGAGGAGCTCAGTGAATGGGACTCATCAGGTGGAAATGGAGACGGGGCCAGAGAGGCCAGCAGCTGGCTCCACCAAGTGTCCAGAACATGGACTTCTTGGGCAAGGAGCCTTGATTCCCCACGGCAGCAGGGAGACCCTTCAGGGCCAAGTTCACCCTCTGGGAAACGGAAACACTATCCTGAGCTCCCAAGTAAGGTGAGGAAGAAAACCTCACAGGCTCTGCCTGTGAAATGTGGGTCCTCCAGGTGAAGGTGTATCATACGAAGAGCTTCTGATTATAGAAAAAATATTTTTATATCAGTCATTTTATTTACTTATTTACCTTGGGGTAGCAGGGATTGTACTCAGGGCACTGACCACTGAGCCACATCCCAGCCCTATTTTGTATTTTATTTAGAGACAGGACCTCACTGTTGCTGGTGAAGGCTTTGAACCCATGACCCTCCTGTCTCAGCCTCCTGAGCTGCTGGGAGTCATTTTAATTTTTAAAGGTAAATTTACTGGGGCTGAGGGTGTCACTCAGTGGTGAAGGGCTTGGCTGGCATGTTCGATCCCCAACTCCACAAAACCAAACCTAAAAACCAAACAACGGCTTCTGCACACTCTTCATTGAGCCTGTAAATGCCCAAGTCCTTGCCAGGTGTTTTTTTTTTTTTGTTTTGTTGTTGTTGTAGTTGATTTAAATAAATTTTACTTAATTCTAATGGGGCACACTAATCTCTCTTCATTCCGCGGAGCTCGCTATTGCTCTGTCGGGAGAGCGGTACGTACAAAAAGCTCGTTTCTATTTTCTGGGCCTCCCTGGGGGAAAACTATCGAGTGATTATTCTTAGAAAATTATCTGCATCACTTTGAGAGCGTAACTGGCTGTGGGTCTCAATCATTTTTCTGTCTGAGACCCTGAAGGAAGCAACAGACCCTTACCCAGAAGCACCCACACGCACCCATTTGGCACGTTTCAAGGGACTGACTGTGAACAAGCCAAAACCCCAGGCCAAGCTGGGAGGACACTGGGTCTTGACCAAGGGCTAGCTCTGCTGCCGAGTTCAGCCCTAGGTGGCCTCTCTGGGGTCCCAACTCCACCAAGAGCCCCATTGGAAGGGAGCTGCTGTTCCTGCATCACTGAGACCAGGCAGAGCAACCCAGGGACTGCCTCTGAAGGCCAAGTCCAGGGACTGCTGTGGGCTTTTCCGGAAGTTCCTGCTCACAGAGGAGGCAGCCCCTGGTCTGGGGAGCAGCCCTTCCCCAGATCACTGGTCTGTGCTTTGCACATTTGGAAGCTCTGCAGCCTGCGGGGTGCTGCTCAGGCTGTGTATGACGAGCACCAACTAAGTCTCCTGCAAGGACGCAGAGGTGGAAGGTGGGCCTAGTGGGGAGTCAGGGTTTGTCTGCGTCTCTTAACTCTGCTTTTGCCAGTTGGGGTTTTAAAATGAGAATTTTCTTGGGTGGATTCTGTTTACATGCTTCCTATCCAGGGCGGGCAGGGGTGTCGTACCAGGTCTGCTTCCTTGGACTTGGGATAAAACTGAAGGAGGGGCCAACTCAAGCCTAGGATTCCTGCACATTTTAATAACCCAGGAACACAGGGACTCGGGCCATGTGCTAAAGCGAACAGCTACATTTTCATTTTTATGAATTAAATTAATTACAGACATTCTCAGTGGGTGCCACTTCTCCTTGCTATCTGGACAAATGTATTACACAAAGCTGGGGTGGGGGCTCTGAGCCCAGGCTGTACACACCAGGTCAGCCAACTGACCTCAGCTACCCCAGTCCACTCTCATTTCCTGTGAGAAAACAGACACACAGGCGCCTTCTGAAGGTCCCAACCAAATCCCAGCCCCCTGTGGTTATCAGCCGTCCCAGCAGTGGGGATGCTGCGTCCCTCCTCGTGTTTCCATCTGGAAAATAAGGGGGGGCCTAAGGGCCAGGAGGCTGCTTCCAGTCTCTGCCCAATGACGCTGCAAGGGCACTGTGGTGGGATGTGGTGAGACACCCGTCTTCCGAGGGCCCCAGCTATGGCCCAGGGGTGACACAGCGCCCTTAGGGAGCTACCTCAGGCAGTGCCCAGGAGGCTGCAGCACATTGGCCGGGGCCTGACACCAAGGGAAGGTGACAGTCTTAGCTCTCCTGGGCTACCTGGAGATGGTTTCATGAGGCGGCAGGACCATAGCAAGACCCAGGACGGTGGCCAGCGGCCAGGGAGCATGCCGGTTTCACCGAGGCGTGCGAGCGCTGATCCCACACCAGACACAAAGCTGGGAGCTGGCTGGCGGGGACCCAGGCGCTCAGCCTTCTCTAGGAAGCCACTGATGCTGAGGGGCTGAGTGATCTACTTAGGTCTGGTGCCCACTGAGGATGGTCTGAGTGGGCCACCAGGTCCTGGGGAGGAGAGGGGTTGGGACTGACCTACAGGGCTCTAGTTCCTGCATGAGCCCCTCAGTGTCCATAGCTGCAGGGCGGTTAAGATGGTTCGTGTTATTTACGTATTTCTTTGCACTGCCGGGCATGCGAGCAGGGCCCTGTGCGTGCCAAGCGAGTGTCCTTACCGGGGCGCCCCCAGCTACTCCCCCCACTCATCATGTCACCTCAGGGAGGAAACAGCTGGAATGGGCACCTACCAAGGTTGTTGTCCGTCAGCACCTCCTTAACCCTCTTGGTTATGCCGTAGGTGTCCAGCTCTGGAGACATGGCTACTAGCTCTTGGATGCTGAGGGCCGAGTGACCAGAGAGAGGCAGAGGGGTTGTAGGCTGGGAGTCTGGAGCCGGCGGGTCGGTGGGTTCTGGTGGTTTGCCATCTTTACTGGTCTCGATGGGGGGACAGGGCTGCTGGACCAGCTCCGTCAGACTCTTCACGGACTCACTGGAACTCATCGGGGACTCGGGGGCAGGGCTGCAGCTGGCGGAGGTCTTTGGAGTGCTTTCTGCAATTAAATACACGAAGAGCCGCAGCTGAGAATAGCTGTCTTTCACCACGTACATCTCCTTTCCTTCCCAAGGAAACGCTAATTAAACACCCGTGTCGGAGCCACGCAGTGTGAAAGTCGATGGATCTTTGCACGTTGTTGCACAGTTTTTTGACTGAGAGTAACCTCTAATTTTCTGTATTAAAAGAACAAAAATAACACTAACAAGAAAAAAAAAACCTAGAGGTTTAAATAAAAGGTTTCTGAAGGCTTAATATCAGGGCATTCTGCTAAGAAATATCTGTCATATTAATCATGTGTTATCACTGTCATGATTTCTTCTAATGAAACCCATAATTCTAATAATTCAGAAGGACTGTGGCTACATTATAACTTGTGTAATTATTTTGTATTTTCCAGAATAAAAAGAATGGATAGATTATTTAAATGAGGGCTGTCTTGATGTGTGGTCACCACAGTATGAAGACCCTTGAACCCAAGGTCTGGCTGCTGGTCCCATGGTGGCACGGAGGGACTCAGGTCTTGGGAGCTTGGAGTGGTACACTGTGACTGCCTGAGGGGTCACCAACTCTGGTAGAGATGGGGAGATCCAAGGAACGTCCACTCTGTACCAAGCCCCCGGGGATCCCTGTATCACTGGTTTGGGAACACGAACTTCTTTGTCCCTCCGTGCTGTGACCCTCACTGAGAGTGACTGGCCAGGGCAGGCTGTCAGCTTTCACAGGCTCCTCCGCTTACGAGGGCCTCTGCTGTGCTGGGTGCTGCTGGGGTACAGGGGGGATGCTGCCCCGGACTTCTCTTCATCTGGGACAGGACACAACAGGCTTCAGTGGAGTTCTGGGGGGTTGGATAGACTGGCCACTTCCAAAGACAGAGAAGAACTGTTGGGGAGGAAACGTGAGATGACTCAGCACCGGGGTCCTACCCACAAGGCCAGCCTGCCCTGGCCAGCTTGGGGTCTGGCATAGTCTCCACCCCACCGAGCCCCACACGTGGCGAGCCCCTCAGTGCCACGCATGTGGCTTGGCACAGAGGGCTGGGCCTCAAGGTCTTCTTCTTGCTACTCCCTCAGGCCCCAGCAGGCCCCTTGGGAACATTAGCACGTAGGCAGACACTCCCAAACTGTCCCCTGACTAAAGAGGGAATGTCACAGTGGGAAGAATTTGATTTCATTTCCCATATGGGACTGTATTCCAAGTGACAGGTGCGTTCTATGTGGATACCTGGAAACCCTAAGACCCCAGGTAAGACAGCTAAAATTCAACCTGATAAACCTGCTTATTGTCCTGAACGAGTATAAAGTCCCCCATCACAGAAAGCTGTGTCCCCAGCCTGGAGAATCAGGTTAAAAAAACAACCAAACTGGTTTGCGAGAAATGTAAAAGAGACAGACGTGACAGGCAGAGATGGTCTGTATCCATCTTTAAGGCAATATGAATCCTACAAATCGGATTGCTTTTCTCTGCTCACCCCCGGGTCACCAGACAACTGGATATAAAACCCAGCAAATGTTGTTTTTGTATCTGAAGCAGCGAAGGAATCGTACTGTAAATTTGCCCTGATTCACCCATGCGAGGGACCAATTTGGCAGATCATCCATCTTGGTCCTGTGCACTGTCAGGGACAGCATGAATCCCCACATGATAAACAGATTTCTCCTCAGGTTTGTGTCCTTTAACCCACAGCAAGGTCGAAAGCATGGCCGCCTGGCTCATAGACCCCGGATGCTGGCGGCTTCCTTGCCTCCCTGCCTGGTTTGGGCGTTTGCACAGGCAGAGCTCACCAAATACCTCCAGGGGCCCCACAGTTCCCTCTTCTAGGAATTCTCAGCCTGGAAGAGAGAACTGGTGGGGGGCACTCAGCACACACGGCTGGCGTCCCCCGGAGCGCCCAACCATGGCTGCAGACAAAGGCTGAGCCCACCCCAGGTACTGTGGGTTCGAAGCCTGGAGCACGCATGGGGCCAGCCCTCCAGAGAGCTTCTGGGAAGTACTGTGGTCCTGGTGGCAGGACTAGCAGAACTAGCATGACCAGGCCAAGCTCAGGGTCCTGTTGGGGACCTGGGCAGGGAGAGGGCAGTGGCCTGTGTGGCTCTGGACAGCACAGAGGAAACATGGCTTCCTTCTCCCCCCCACCCCCACCCCAGTAAGGCCCACTTGGAAGGCAAGAGGCTCTGCTCCAGGCTCTGCAGCGATTACACAAGACAAGGGGAGGCGTCTGAAGCTGGGCATGAAGTTCTGGGCTGGGAAGGGCCACTGTCATGGCGGCTCTGCTGACAGCAATGATGCTGGACCTTCCTGGTCACCCTGGAGGGGCCCCTGGTCTCCCCACCTGACAGCTATGGACAGGGCTGTCACAAGGAACGGCCTGCCATGAGACTGCCGCTAAGTAAATGTGGCATGAATCTGACATTTAAAAAAAAGAGTGGCTATTAAACTGTATTGAGGCGTACTTGTTTATATAAAGGCCCACATTTAACATAAGTCTCTCGCGACTTACTGCTATTTTGTCCACAGTTCCTGACACGTGACTGAGACGCTGGCTATGGACTCCAAAGGCCACACCCCACAGGTGCATCTAGATGATGTTCTAGAAAAAAGCTAAGGCAGACCAGTGGCTGCTAAGGCAATCACAAAGGGGCAGTGGGGTATCTGGGGGACAATGGAATTGTCAACCGTGACTGTTGAATTCATACGACACTCACAAAAAGAGACCATATTTTTAAAATCCCACAAAACCCTTCACAGGACAGTTCTCTGCATGAAGAGTACATTTTCCTGCATGAGTCATACTTTGATAAAAACCTACTTAGGGAATGGAGGCTGGTCATTCCCTGCTCTGTCCTCCTGTCTGAGTGATCAGGCCCCAAGAATGGGACAGGGGTGGCCCTGCCTGGTTGGGAACAGGATGCACCTAAATGACAATGAACATCTCCCTGGGAGGGGACCCTCAGAGGGTCACTTCTGGTGACTCTCATACAGAATCAAGAATCAGCAGCTAGGCAGAGGGAGAGGGTGGTGAGGAAGAAGGGAGAAAGTTCTAGATGGCTGGAGCAGGATGCAGAAAGCCTGGGGGGAGGCAGTGCCTGGTGGGTCTGAAGCACGAATGTAACTTAGTGCAGCAAGAGGCCCAGGGCTGCGCTGTGCAGGGTCTGGGAACCCCTCTGTGGAGTGTCTGTGTTTGGGTCCTATGATGGGGACGGGTCTATCTAGGATGGGGCTACCTGCACCCCAGCAGTTCTTCTCTCCCAAAGTCGCTCACTGGGCACAGAGTGTTTATTGAGGCTTCGTCCAAAATACCTGGGGCTGGAACTAGCCCCCACCACCAGGAGGTGAGGGATCTGAGCCTTCACACAGTGGCCTACGAGCTCCCGATAGCAGGGGGAACATAAGACTTGGAGCCACCTGGGATAAATTTGACAAGAGGAGCCCTGAAGGCCGGTGTGGCTTAGTAGCAGCATAGGTCAACAGGGGCAGAAAGCGTAAGCTTGCTGTGTGGCCATCGCTCCCTGGTTCCTGAGTTGCCGAGAATGCCAGTCTCGCAGGCTGACTTCCAGGAGGGCAAAGTCAGGCAGGGGCTGCAGCGCCATCTCCCACGTTGTGTTTCTTTTAAACATAACGGTTTAGTTATGACTGAAAGCTGAGGTTAAAGCTGGGTGCTGGGAGGGTGCGTCCTCACTGCGTTATCTTGCACTTTGTTTGAAACATGATAGACTTAAATATTAAACAGCAGGAAAGCACATTCTATTCCCTAGTAGAGAGCAGGAACTCTCAAGAACAGCAAGACAGGTGGGAGGTGCTGGGGAGGCCTGCAGCACCCAGATAAGAGCTGGTGAGGCCTGGAAGACCACCCAGGTGGCACCATGCACAAGCTCAGCCAAGTCACAAAAAGCCAATCCACAATGGCATCAGGGAAGGGGACCAAACCACACTTCCTACCACATATGCAGGGAGAGCATGCCAAGGGTGCTGTGCCCCATTCTGCCCCCATTTCCTATTAGCCTGGGTGGAACATGCCCCACAGCCCAGGCACTGCCATCTGGTCTATGCCTGGACACAGCAAAGGTGGGGACCAGAAGAGCAGCAGAAAGCCTTTGTGTTCCTAGCCATTTTGTTGTCTGCCAGTCACCAGGATAGCCTGCCTGCCTTCTCCCTCCCTCCATCCATCCATCCATCTATCCAACACTCACCTAACCGCCCACCTGCCTATCCATCTGTCCGTCCATCCATCCATCTATCCAACTGTCTGTCCATCCATCCATTCATGCATCCATCCACTCACCCACCTACTCACCTATCCGTTCATCCATCTTTTCACTTGTTTAACCCATCCATCCATCCGTCCATCCATTCATGCATCCACCTACTCACCCACCCACCCCAGCCTCCTGCCTATCCATTTGTCTGTCCATCTATCCATCCATCCATCTATCTACCCATCCAACCACTCACCTAGTCGTCACACATTTTTAAAGCACCCACTCTGTGCCCGTGCACTGTTAGCATCAGAGACAAGAGAAATGAAAAAAAAAAAATGTTGCTTTCAAGGAGATTGCTGTCTGCAGGTCTGGCACAAAAAGGGGAATTCGCGCATCTTAAAAGCCCAGCGATGCAGATGCAGCTGATCCACCCAACTCTGACAGTAACAGGAAGTGCTACATTTGAAAGTGATCTGTGTGGGTTAAATTTTCCTGCACAGTGTTGAATCTTGCTTAGGAGGAGCTTGGTTGGGAAGTTCAAAGAGCAGAGACGGTGACTCAAGGCCCTGTGAGATACACGAGGCATTCAAGAACTGTAAAAGGATTATGAAAAATATTATATTCCAAAAACAGCAGGCAAACAACAGCTGCCTTGAGTTTGCAATAGAAGCCAATTGAAAATGCACACCCGCCACAATTTTCCAAGACAAATCTCTCTGCAGTTTATCCGATCCACTGTTGAAATTTCCATACCCAGCCCTCTATCGCCGTAATAATAACCCAAATTCCATTTAGTGTT